GAGCAGCTTTTCTCGCCCTGGAGGACGAGGGCGGCGGACTGTGGTGCATCAGGGCGTCCCGCCGCTCCCGTCCTCCGGGGCGAGAAAAGCCCCGTTCGCAACTGCGGATCTGACATAAGTCGGATCCGCGTAACTCGGGGACTGCCTGTAATAATTTGATTAAACAGTTCATCTACAGCAGAAGCATGCAGATTTTTAATAGTATGTAGTAAATGAAACACAATCCAAATGCACTTGTTTTAACAATATAATATGAAACAGGTAAAAACCTCAACAATCCCTAGCAAATTGGACTTGCCTATAATACTCACATTTAAAACATGCTCTATAAACTTTAACGATCCTCATTAAAGAGATCAAGAATTCTAAAAGTGCATATGCTGCGTCACTATGACACAGCCTATAAAAAAGGGCAGTGTGTTGCCGCAGCACCACAGAAGCAGTTCTGGGGACCCACAGTTCCCTCCCTCTTTTAAAGTAAAATTCTTCTGACCTATACAAGAAGTAAATTACTGCCCATTCTCCTCCATGAGCTTGCTTGCATTTACTAGTGCATTTAGGAGTAGAGCCATGTTCCCCCCTCTTCCTGCTCCCAGAGGGAAGGGACATGCAGAGCAGGGCCAGTTTTAGGCCGATTCGACTGATTCCCTGGAATGGGGTCCCATGCCTAAGGGGGCGCCGCTCCCGGGTGCGTGACGCATGCGCAGTGCCATCCAGGGTGCGCGGCGCATGTGCAGGGCCCCGGGCACACGACACATGCACAGTGCCGCCCTAGGCACGCAGCGCATGCATGGCCCCGCCTCCGGAATTGGACCCCGTGCTTGTTAAAACCGGCCCTAGTGCAGAGGTTCAACTGAGGTTATTAATCCCCTTTGTCCCACTGCACAGGTGGACGTGAGTAAAAACTTATCCCATCATAAGATTCAAGGGCTGGAGTTTGCTCCTGGAGGAGACTGCACTGTCTCCCCATTGTACCATAATAAAAGGTTATTTTCAGTATTGCCAGCCCAGAGGGTGATAAAACCATGAGTCAAGTCTCCAAAACTCATGGGATTGGCTTAAAAATCAGGGGACTTAAACATAAGCGTGGGAATCTTTTTATTCACCTTCTGACTTTGGAGCTGTCAGAGTGCATTCACATTTTCAAGTTTCTCTTGAAGGCTATGTCTAGACTGCAGGCTTCTTTCATAAGAAACTTTTCTGGAAGAGATCTTCAGAAAAAACTTCTTCCAAAACAGAGGATCCACACTGCCAAAACACATCGAAAAAGCAATCTGCATTTTTGAAAGATAGCGTCCACGCTGAATGGACGCTATCTCACATTTAAGCTGTGATTACTATGATGGAGTGGCCACCAGGATATCTGTGCTTTTTCCTCTTTCCTCTTCTTTCAATATAACTCCCTCTTCCCCTTCCACACACGCCTTTTTCCAAAAGAGCTCTTTCAGAAAAAGGCTTCTTCCTTGTAGAAAGAGGTTTACCAATGTCAGAAAAAACCCTCTGTTCTTTCCATTTTTTTAAAAAGAACATGACTTCAGTGTAGACGTAAGTGACTTTTTTGGAAAATTGGCCGTTTTTCTGAAAAAACTCTGCAGTGTAGACATACCCTAACTGAAACTTTTTTGGAAAGCTGAAATTCTGAACTAATCACATGTCTCCAGGAGCTGGAGCTTTAAGAAAGACCCCAAACCTTATAAGACTCTTAATAAAATCATTACTCATGGCAGTGGTGACTCTTCTTTAGGAAAAAGTGTACTTTCCAGAAAATGAATGGTTTCTAAAATACATTTTAATTCATAGATCACAATCTTACATGAGTTCACAAGCTAATTTTAATTAGGATAGTGTACTACAGCAATTCTTGCTAGAAGTTTCCTATTTCTAGTATAGTACCAGACTATTTACTCCTCTGAACTTTTTACACTTTTTTGCCGAGTTACAGTAAAAAAAAACCTGCGTAAAGTATTCCTGTACCACATGCCAATTTATCTTTCTGAAAACTTTCATAGTGTTTCCAGCATTTATAGAACAAATGGGAGGTCAATGGTGCTTTTATTTCACATGGCAGTATCTGAAGCTCTCAATATTTTATCATGACATGTAGGAGCCTTTAAATCATTATGGCACCACATACCCTTAATATGATCCTAATAAGAGGCACAATTAAACATATCAGGAAAGGCAGAGGGCAACTTGGAGTAAGAAAGTGGATGAACTTTCTGTAACTGTCAATTTTTGCAAATATCTTGGTTGATCCTGGTTAGAGATAGTTCATACAACACCTGCTCTGTTTGTGGTGTTTTTTCTTTCAGAACTCAGTCTTGCCCAACCATAAGCCTGTCTTCCTCCTGCAGTAAAACTTAGAAAAATCAGGGCTTTTGATTTCACTTACACTGTTAAAGCTTTGTGCTTTTCCCAGGTCTCCATACTCCACATGTCAGGATGATTCAGTACTATTTCACTATACAGCTCCGCACTGATAGGCGAGAGAGCTTTGTCAGTCCAGAACTACCGTAAAATCTCGAGTATAATGCGCAGTTTTCCCCCAGGTTATTTAGCCTCAAAGTCGGGGTGCACATTATAAATAGGAGCTATATTTTAAAGTTTTATTTTGGCAGAAGCCGACGAATCTGTAAGTAGCACCAGGCTGGGGAACTTCCCCTCCCCTCCACACAGAAAATTTCCCACCTGCTGCCCCGCCAGGCTCCCAGACAAGGCAAGGAGCCAGCGTTTCCACCAGGCTGCAGTGCCCTGGCTCACTGCCTGCCTGGTGCTCCTTCAGGCTGCGCCTGGGGGTCCCAGTGGCAGGCGCGAGCTTGGCATGGAGCACGGGCAGCTGTCTGGGAGGGTGGGGGGCAGGTTTCAAACTCCGCTGCTGGCCCCCCCGGCTGCGTGCATGTTTCCCGGGTGATCCTGCAGGTGGGAGCAGGGGTCCCTCCTTACTGCTCTCTGGCAGCCCAGGGCCGCCTCTGGGAAGCGGGCGAGGCTGGGGCTGGGGCTGGTGGGTTGGCTCCTGGCTTTTTTAAAGAAAAATGTCTGAGGTAAGCGCGATGTACAATGGGGTGCGCATTATATATAGGAGTTCAGTTTTTTTCATTATGCTCAGATTCAAACGTCAGGGTGTGCATTACGCATTATACTCAAGATGTTATGGTATGTGTTGTTTTGACTGCAGTAGTGCCTAGCAACGCCAGGGCTGACCTGGGACACAAAGCATGGTGCAAGAAGGCAGGAGTGGACTGCATCTTGAACCATAGAAAATTGCTCCATAGAAAATGATCTCCAGTCTGTACCATGCTGTTACTTTCAGTTCTCTCCACAAACAGCAATATCATTTACAATGTCCTTTGTCTCCTCAATCCTTTTCCCAGGGCCCAAGAGAAGAAGAGGTCTCTGGCTCTGGACTCAGCTAACCCTGCTCCAATCTCCTGCGTTTCCTTTCTGTGCCTTTCTGATCAGTCTTGAGCTGATGGGCTAATTGGCTCTGTAGCTCACACAGCCACCTGACTAGATAATTAATTCCCAGTCAGCTTTCTTGAGGATGGAAGGGAACTAATTGGTGTCAGAATGATCCGAGTACAGGATCACCTGTTAATGCCCTGCACTCTGTCACAACAGGACAACCCTTCCCCCTCATCCTCCCCCACACACAGTTCCTGCCCCAAAGAGCTGCGCAGGAGTTTTTGAAGAGAGGTCACATGCAGGGGATTGATCACAGAGCTGCTGTTAATTAAAGACTCTTGAATTCTAAGTCTCATACTGTGACTCTCTCTGTGTCTTTAGATAATTCACACTTAATTTCTGCCTCAGTTTCTCCTTCTCTTGCCTATTGTGTAGGGCTCTTCCAAAAAGGATGTGAAGTCTTTTGAATGTGGACCTCATTTTATGTCCACAACTATGTGTGGAAGGGATTTATTGGAATTTTTTTTGTTTGGTTTGGATGCAGTGTGGCGGGCAGCCTCCATTTGTGTCCACAAATAACTACAAAGCCAAAGTGGTAATACCCTTGCTTAGTTTGTACCATGATTGGTATATGCGAGAGGCTAGGCTTTAAAACTCTCACGCAGAAGCACGATGCCACTGCCAGGGGCAACATAGCCTGAGGAGTCAGTGGATAATAACAATGGTCTTGTGACAGAGGTGATTTTTGGAACCTTGATCCCGGTCAGATGACTGAGTCAGGACATAAAATTTAGTCTGCTCTCAGCATCTGTGTCTAGCACACATTTAAGGTACTAGTCATGCTACCTGGAAATTTGGACACCCTCAGATTATTTCTCCTGTATGACCAGCATCAGGACATAGGCTTCACCTGGTCCTAAAACATTGTCCACTGGCCTGCCAAATGAAATTGATGTCCTCACATAAACATCCAGCTGTGAAAAATCATTCCTGTTAGGCACTGTGAGGTTTCTTTACTCCAGGCATGTGTGAGCCTCATTGCCATAGTTACTTGGGATCATCTTCTTTACCTGCCATCCAGAAAACAAACACGTGTGAGACACAAGACTGTAAAAACTGACAGTAACATAATGGCACTCTTCAAACACCCACATTCCAAATAACACTTCCTCCAGCTGCACAGTTGAATCCTCTGCAACCAGCCCTCATATCTCTTTGGAGAGATCTGCCTTGTCCACTTGCTCTTGAGATTTCAGTGGAACTCTTTAGTTTCCAGTATCAGAGGGATAGTCTTGTTAGTCTGTGTGACGGCGCGTTGGGGTTTTCCCGTCTCCTGCACCCCTGTAATGGCACGGACAGACTCCACCAGCCAGTAGAATAGAGGGTGTTTATTGCTTCTTCAGGGTACAGCACAGCACAGATGTAATCTGGTTCCAGAGCAGGCATAGGATGCCTCAGCTCCCCTTGAGATGGGGGAGACTGGGCCCCTAAATTCCAGCTCGTTTCCCTAGGCTGTCTCCTCCATGCTCCCAGACAGAAACTAAAACTCTCTTCAAGCCCTGCCCCGCAGCCAGGGGTGGCATTCCACCTTCCTTTGTTTCTCTCCCTGGTGGGTAGCTGGTCGGACAGGTTGAGAGACCCTTGCCTAGTGACTCATCCCCTGTCCTGCTGGGCCGTACTACAGACAGCTGCCAGTGGGGGTCACCCACAGCCCAAGCTTAGCAACCAGCAAGGTACTCACACTACATCACAGTCTGGATCTGCAAAAGCGACAAGGAGTCCTGTAGCACCTTATAGACTAACAGATGTATTGGAGCATAAACTTTCGAGGGCAAAGACCCACTTCATCAGATACATCTGACGAAGTGGGTCTTTGCCCATGAAAGCTTATGCTCCAATTCATCTGTTAGTCTATAAGGTGCTACAGGACTCCTTGTCTCATTAGTTTCCATGTGCCAACTAATGTTTACCTTCCTCTGGATGCCTCAATACTTTATAGCACTCAGACATTTCTAAGTGCTGTACAAACAACAATTACTTGATCCTACATCACCCTTGGTGTGTGTGTGTGAGAGAAGTATTATCATCTCCATTTTGCCTGCAGGGAACCTGAGCATCAGAGGATAAGGGACTTGCCTGAGGCTACACAGCAAGTCAGTGGCGCTGCTTCTTTTATTACTCAGGAGCCCTGGCTCCTGGTCCATGTTCAGAGTATTAGAGCAGTGGTATGCAAACTCTTTCAGCCACACCCCCACTGCTGGTGGTGCCCATCTGCAGTGTGAAGGTACTGACAGGCCTTAGAGAGCTCCCTATCAGCATAAAGCAGCCACATTGTCTATGCAGTGTGACCTGTGTCCAGGGCAGCACAGCCTAGTGGCCACAGAGCTAATATGCAATCTCTAGTGTTCAGGGTAGTTCGGCCCAGCGGCCACAGAGTCTATACACAGTACAGACCAGCAGCCTCAGAGTCAATATACAATTCGTCTGGGATCAGGGTAGTACAGCCCAATGGCCTCAGCATATATATACAGGTAGTCCCCAAGTTATGAACGCATCGATTTACGACCATTTGTTCTTACGACCAACCTCCCACTAAGCATGTCCCCAAGTTACCAACGCGACTTGCGCTTATGAACAGCACGGTCACATTTAAAAGAATGGGGTCCGACTTACGAACAGATCGAGTTACGACCAAGTGCTTTGTATGGAACTCGTTCGTAAGTCGGGGACTATCTGTAGTATGGAGCATGCAAAGCATATATATAGTATGGCCCAGCAGCCAGAGTCAATATAAGCTCCCTCTAGGATCAGGGCAGTATGGCCCAATGGCCACAGAATCAATATATAATAGACAAAGCTCCCCCATGTGGGGGTATCTGAGGAGGGGGGAGGTAGGGAGACCCAGGCCATCCCTCTCCAACGAATCCCAAACCAGGGCCCTATTACCAGTGACATTGTCCACTTTTAGCTCTACAGGAAATCCCATTGCAACACATCAAGCTCTCAGAGAGCAATTCCCTGCCCTGGGTGACTTCCTACCCAGAGCTTGTAAGAAGTCCTCTTCATCTTCATGCTCTGGTCCAGAGGCTTCTACTGCAGTCCCTCTCGGCCTGTCTTTTGTACACGGAGAAGTTCTAAAATGGCTCCCCTATGTTACATCTACTAAACAATTGTAGCGGTGAGGTGCAAATATCAGTGGAAATGCCTCATGTCCAACAGCTTCAGGGGTAGCTGAGTTAGTCTGTTACAGAAAAAAACAACAAATGGTCTGGTAGGACTTTATAGACTAATGAAACATTTTCAAGAATTTCTCCAGATACTTAATGATTCTCTGTCTCCCACCGCCCTCCCTTTTTCTTTCTCTCCTCTTCCCCTCTCCTATTTATTTCACGTTTTCATATTCTCAACTCATAACTCCGATCATCTGAAGAAGTGAGCTGTGCCCACGAAAGCTCATGATACCATCTACATGTTTCGTTAGTCTATAAAGCGCTACCAGACCATTTGTTGTTTTATTCATGTCCAGCAGTTTGCCAAGAAAATCCCATTGAAACAACAATAACATGGCACAAGGAAGGTTTTCAAGGCACTTGAGGGAATCCAGGCAGAAATACACATCCATGACATTACAAGTAATAATTCAGATTTCCTTGGAAATACAAAATATTACACACTTCACAATCCAACAAGCTTCTACAAAATTTCTTTGCTCAGCTCAGACCTTTCCCAACTGCTGTGGTCTGGGCAGGATCCATTCATACTGTAACCTTCTTGGCATCTAGCCCTCTGACGTGTCCTGACAAGGCTAAAGCAAAATGGTGAGCTGATCTCTCTCTCTCTCCCTCCTTCTGGCATTCTCAGACTTCTCTAATTATTCTTATTATTCTTAATAATATTTGCATTGTAACAGTGCCTGAAGCCTCCAGTCATGTCAAAAGGCCTCAATCTGGATTTGGAGCCCCACTGAGGGAGACACTGTATACTAGAGTTGGTTTTTAAAAGTCCCTTAATAACATTTTTAGTTAAAAAATACTTTTTTGACAAACCAAAAAAAAAAATTGTGGAAAGTGTCTGCTTTTCTCTGGTTTATTAAAATTCTTGTATCAGAAAGCCAAAAATTTGAAAAAATAACAATTTTCACATGAAGTATATTTGGTTTTCAGTAATTTTTCACTAAAAATACACTGAAAATATTCAAATTTGGGGTAAAAATGTTCAGGTTTTACCAAAAAACCTTGGTTTTTTGAGAAAGTCAAAATTTTCTGTAGGAATAAAAAATTCCAGCCAGTTCAACTGTACACACATATAATAAATGGTCACTGCTTCAAAGCACTTGCAGTATAAGTAATCCTTAAGTATATTTAAAAGCTTTGGGTGCCATATAAGTCTTATTGGCTGGAGTCAATCCTTTTTTATATTCCAGATATATCTTCAGTCCCTGGCTCTATGATTATAATCTCCACTGACTTTTTTCTTGCTCAGGATTGCTCATAGCAAGGGAGGGAGAGGACATAGCTTACATATTTTGACATTTGGCTCCCTTATTCCCTCTAAGAAAGTCTTTTCTTGAATGTTACAGTCTATCAGGAGATTTTTATATTTTACTTTTTTTAGGTTAGAGATGAGCTCAAACTACAAAGCCCTCATCCAGATTTCAAACATTTTAACATCTGTCACTGTTTGGATGGGGAGTTTTTTTTTTATTTAGCCCACCTGCAAAACTTTTATGCATGTTTGGAATTTAAATACTTTTGAGATTTGGAAATGTATGTCTCCTATACTTTGGTTTGAGCCCATTTATATTTAAAATATGTTGCTTTTACTTTTGCAAAGACACAATGTAACCAATATTTCCTAAACTACAGGGGAACTTCCACCAGACGCTTGCAAAATACTTTCAAATTAAATAATTAAGGCTAATAACAATACTTACCATGTTGGGGCAGGTTATTTTCTAAATAAAAGGGATATTGCAATATAGAGTGACTTTCTTATAGTCACATAACAAAGTTGCACCGACTTGGGAATGGAAGCTAGGAGTCATGTGTGTCAGTTCTTTTCACTAAACTCTTGACCACACTTACGTTTATCATTGCAATTTATCCATAGGCTTCCACTTTAATCACAGCCAACCCCATTGACATCCACAGCATTAAATACCTTTTCAACATTACAAAAGAGCATAAATGCTTCTTGCCTTTACTCTTTTTTAAATCTTTGCATGCTCCAAAAAGAATTATCATTTCAAAATGTATAATCTTGTGGGAATAGAATATGGTTCATATAACAGAGAAAATGGTTGAGTAGTGGCCCCTAAAATAATGGCAGGTTAAAATGATGATTGTGTTTATTCAAGCCTGCATTTTCCTGTAGACATGTAAAGTTGAACACCTAAAAACGGAAGCCCTCAAATTGGTGGGAACTTGTCTGAATGAGTAAATGGATATAGTCTCTAAGGCAGTGATTCCCAACCTTTTTCTCATGGAAGAAACTCCTAAAATAATTTTTCATATCCTGAGGAACCTCTACCTATGAAAATGCTTGGCCAGAAAAAGTTGACAGTGGGGAGCGCAATTCAATTACTGCTAAATTTTTTCAAGAATATTTATTTGTAAAGAGCTGTTATATATATGTGTGTGTGTGTCAGCTTACATTGTAAGAAAAAAAATTGGAGTATTTTTCCTGTCTTTTTTTGTATCATCTAATCTTTTTTTTTCAAATATCAAATATCCTCCCCCTCTTGCCTTATTTTCTTTCTCTTCTCCTCCCCCTCCTGCCTCACTCTCTCTTTCTCTTCTCCTCCCCCTCCTGCCTCACACTCTCTTTCTCTTCTCCTCCTCCTCCTACCTCTCTCTCCCCTCCATCTCTCCCTGCCCCCCTTCCCCTTCCCCTTCCCCTCCCGCCGTGGTGCTCAGCTGATGTATGCTGCTCAGCTGGGCTGCCGCGAGGGAGGAGGACGGGGCGGTGATGTACACGGCTGGGGCCGGGGACATGTACATCACCGCCCTCCCTTCCCCTTCCACCCCGGGGGAGCCCAAACAGCCCCTTGAGCGGCTGGCT